GACAATTTCACCCTGAAGATGGTCTCAGATGTGATTGAAAGTACTTGGGAAAAATGAAAACTATTCAAAAAAAAAATTTTGGCATTTTCTAAACTTACCATAAATGGAAAAATTCAAAGGATGCCAAAGAATACTAATCAACATGCTATATCTAAATTATTTAATCAAACCTGTTTGAATATATATATATATATATATATATATATATATATATATATATATATATATATATATATATATATATATATATATATATATATATATATATATATATATATATATATATATGTATGTATATATATATATATATATATATATATATATATGTATATATATATATATATATATATATATTTATATATATATATATATTATATATATATATATATATATATTTTTTTTTTTCCCTTGTCCATTCTTTTCATCTTTTTTCTTTTCCTTTCCTCAATTTTAGTTCCCCGTTAACAGTTCTGATGAGAGGGGACGAAACTGGTCGACTGGTGTGTGTTTTGTTTTAAATCTATCATGGCCTACAATATAAAATTTCTTGTTTTAATGCCTTAATACACTTTTTGTACCGTTTCAAACATATTTAAATATATATATATATATATATATATATATATATATATATATATATATATATATATATATATAAACACACACTCTCCCGATTCTAAAAAAAAGATCCATATATCCTACGTATCCTATGCTAACGTAAACAAAGACAATTTATATTAGGAAATGTTTTAGATCCGACGTATTTTTATTTTCTATGTTTTTTAAAACATTATTTTAGATGGATACTCATATTTGAGTGGAAGTTCTGTTTTTAAAAAGTATTTTTATACAACTACATGAAACGGCCTGAATATTCGAGAAATCTTCTAGAAAAATATGCTTCCTTGACTGTAAGTCCTCCGTGACGGAGCGGTTAGGTACGTCAGATCCATATATATATATATATATATATATGTGTGTGTGTGTGTGTGTGTGTGTGTGTAAAAAATTTTCCGATGCATTTCGTTGGCAAAGATAAGTTTTCTTCTTGGCCTTATTCTTATATATATATATATATATATATATATATATATATATATATATATATGTATATTTATATACTACAGTGAGACAAAGAGAGAGAGAGAGAGAGGAGAGAGAGAGGGCTGTGAGAGACGAGAAGTAGTCCAATAGAGTGATGCGTAAAATGCCCCGATGAAAACAAATCAGTAAGATTGATAGCTTTAGTCATAATACTAAGAATCTTCACACATGTCGCTATGAACAGTCTGGGTAATCACAAAAACACACAACACACACACACACACACACAGATTGGAAGAACGTAAATAAAAATATGTACATTTGTGTACATCTAAAATATATAATCCTCACGAAGTATTAAAATCAATGTATGCATAAATGAAATTAAATAAAGCTATAAAGTTGATAAAAGAAGAGAAAAGGATATATATTTGGATATATAGTTAGATAGAAAGATAGACATCGGCAAACTGAGATAGATTTGAATATATATATATATATATATATATATATATATATATATATATATATATATATATATATATATATTTATATACCATACACACACACACACACACACATATATATATATATATATATATGGTAAAAAAAAAAACATACGTATACGCACATATACTTGCATGTACATATATATTTATTCTCAGGTGTTATAAAAACAGTTCTCAGTGTTATATAACAGAGCTATTTAGTATATATTAGTGAATATATATAACATGGGATATTGCGTATATTCACTAATATATATATTCACTCATACTCCTAATAGTCTTACGAATAGGTGTGACCTATGTTTAGAAGAGAAAATTAGAATAATCAAATTCAGTAATCAGAGTAAACTATTAAATTAAACGAATGAATATGTCGTCACAGAAGTAGGTTTAAGCTTCTACAATATTTTTGTCTTACTTTATTTTTTAATTATCTAACCCTTCTAATGTTAAACACATTACTATAACGTCCTGGGTATGACGATAAACTGCATTTACGTCCTGGGTAAGACGGTAAACTACGTCCAACAGCAAGACCTCTGATCAGGAGGTTTTGAGGAGTGTGGAACAACCTCTTAATTGCTGGTGTTCCCAGGTCCACTCTGACCCGGAGTGGTAGCACCTGTTAGGATCCCAGCTATGGCCAAATAGTTAACATTCAGACGACATTCGTGTATGACAATAAACTACATCCACGTCCTGGGTATGACGATAAACTACATCCGCGTCCTCGATAAGACGATAAACTACGTCCAACAGCAAGGCTTCTGATAATACGTTTTTGAAAAAATAATGTTGCCAGTTGTACGTTTTTGAAAAAATGATATTACCAGCAATACCTTTTTGAAAAATATTACCAGTTATACGTTTTAGAAAAAAATATTACTACTAGCTATACGTTTTTGAAAAAATAATATTACCAGCTGTACGTTTTTGAAAAAATAATATTACCAGTTATACATTTTTGAGGGAAAAAATATTAACAAAAATAGATTTTTGACAAAACAAAAGTATTACGAGGAAAAAAATAGTTGACGGCATTAAATGACCCATTGAGGTTGATGCGCCGTAAAACAAAACAAAACAAACCAAACCATATTACTATAGTTATTTCTATATTTTACCTTCTCCATATCAATCCTATCTTCTAACATTCCACTACATTATGAACTTATCTTTTTTAAGAAAGTTTTTTTTTTTTTATATGTTACCGGGTATGGTTTGCATTCTTAAAAATTTAAATTATCTTTATATTTTAAATGGTTAAAATAATAATTTTTATTTTTTTCATTAATTCTTAATATATTTTTTTCTTAATATAAACTATCTAAAAACGATTTTATATCTTATCTTATTATATGTTATTTGTAAGCATATTTTTGGTAATTTTTATCGGTAACAATTTTTTTTTTATATAATTAATAATTTAAAATTTCGTTTTATAAAACTCCTTTTTTTCCGGCCTTCCTTTTTTAGTTTCACTTCATCTTTCTTATAAACCCAATTTGTGGTCTTAAGGTTAATATCTGGGTTGAATTTGTGTAGTTTCTTTTCTTTTATGACAGATAACTTCCGCCCTCCCCTTACCACCACTCGGGCAGTCTCTCTTGTCGGCTGTGTTATGGCTTGGCTCTGTATCAATTTTTCAACTGCTGTCTTTGTTAAATATTAAATTTTAAATGTCTAGTTCCGACACTGAATACCGTCTACCATTTGAGTTGAATAAGGCTGACGCATTCGACGTTATTTGAAATAGTCCATACTGATGAGGCAATTTGGGATTTCTCTGTTAGGTAATTCATATGTTTTGTTATAATAAGTACATTCAGTTCTATTTGTGGATCAGTTTTAATATTTGATATTATTAGGATCCACTTTGATTATATACCAACGGATTTATTACCTCTACTATATATATATATATATATATATATATATATATATATATATATATATATATATATATATCAATATGATGACATAGATAGATAGATTTGAATAAAGTAAGATAGATTGGGATAGATAGATAGATAGATAGATAGATAGATAGATAGATAGATAGATATGTAGATATTTACATAGATTTGAATAAATTAAGATGGGTAAATAGATAGATAGATAGATAGATAGATAGATATGTAGATTTGTTAATTAAGATTTGAAATAGAAGATTAATAGATAGATGGGGTAAATAGATAGATGAATGATAGATAGATAGATATTTACATGTTTACATTTGAAATAAATTAAGATGGATGTAAATATAGATAGATAGATAGATGATAGATAGATGATTTAGATAGATTTGAATAAATAGATAGAAAATATGAAGATAGATAGATAGATAGATAGATAGATAGATAGATAGATTTGAATAAACTGAGTTAGATAGATTTGAATATGTGTGATAGATAGATAGATAGATAGATAGATAGATAGATAGATAGATATTTACATAGATTTGAATAAATTAAGATGGGTAAATATGAAGATAGATAGATAGATAGATAGATAGATAGATAGATAGATAGATAGATAGATAGATAGATAGATAGATAGATAGATAGGAAGAGAGTTAGGAAAAATGGCTTGATAAAATGGAAAATATATTCAATGATGATTGGGGTTTTTGTCAAAGTAATAAGCTGAGGAAACCGACTGGTTGTTTTATGAGAGAAAAGAAGCAACCAAAAACTAAAGAGGAAATTAAAGAAAAAAAAAAAAAATTCAAGCAGAAACAAATTTAAAAATACTGCGTGAAAAATGCATAGGAATATGAAGATTGCATGAAGAATAAAAAAAAAAAATGAATAATTTCTGTGGGGGGAAACCCTGAAATCTAACAAGGCAAACAATGTAAATTGGGGAGAAAACAAAAATTAAAGAAATACAATCAAAGATGTCAAATTGGGACTATATAAATAAGCAGCTCGAAAAAAAAAAATAATATTATCACCTTACCATGAAGCAAGGGTTAGCAATCTAATCTCGCGAGGCATTACTGGGTGCCCCACAGATTTGGTCCCGTGGCAGAATTAGTAACACTAAGTTAAACTGCCGTGGAGTAATGATTAGGAAAGGGAGCATAACTGACTTTACGGCTGTTGTAATGTCGATCCTGCCTATAACTGTCCGAACTAAGTTAAGCCAGAGTACATCAGTGTCCCAACCTAGGAAAAGAAATTTATGTTTTATGCTGTTTTTAAAGATAGACATCTGTTCCGAACATGAAATGTTGCTGCCATACAATCTATTCTGCTCCCTCGATTTGGTCGTTTGTCGTAATGAAGTAAAGAATTAATCAAGGAACGAGGTAAAGAAGAAAAGGAAAAACAAGAGAAGGGAGAATAAAAACGAGTGACATGTTAAATGAAAAGCGAATATAATCAGGTAAGAGGATAAAAAAGGTTATAAGTAAAATATCTGAATAGTTTCATATTGAAGATATTAAGAGAGAATGGATAGAAAAATGAAAGGTAAATACTGGAAAATGTGGAATGAAAGAAAGAAAGTGCAAGACAACGACCAGAGAGAAGGAATAAATAAAGATAGAAATTCAAGGACATAATAAAAAAGAAAATAATCGCGAAAAAAGAAAGAAAGGAAAAATCGATTAGATAGAAAGAATAAAGAAAGGCAGAAATATAAATGTCGGGGACAAAGAAAGAAAGAAAGAAAGAAAGAAAGAAAGAAAGAAAGAAAGAAAGAAAGAAAGAATTCGATTAGACAAAAATGATAAAAAAGACAGAAAGGTAATTTTTGGAGACATAAAAAGAAAAAAAATAAATAAGAAAGAAGATTCGAGAAATCGATCAGAAAAATGGAATAAAGGAAGACAAAATGAAAAAAATTCAGAAGACTTACAAAAGAGAAAATAAATCAGAAAGAAAGGAAGAAAATTACAAGAAGTCGATTAAACAGGAGGAAAAGGAAGACAAAAATTCAGGGATATAAAAAGGAAAAGCAAATAAACGAGAAAGAAAGAAAAAAAGAAAGAAAGAAAGAAAGAAAGAAAGAAAGAAGGAGAAGGAAAGAATGGGGTACAGAAAGAAAGGAAAGAAAGGAAAATGAAGGGAGGGAGTGAGACAGAAAGGATAAAGGAAAACAGTAGTTCATGGGGATAAAAAGAAAAGAAAAATGAAGGAAAAATGAAAGAAAAGAAAGAAAAAGGAGCCTAAAAGAAAGAAAGAAAGAAAGAAAGAAAGAAAGAAAGAAAGAAAGAACGAAAGAAAGAAAAAAAAAAGAAAGAATTGCGTGAGAATACGACCAGGCAGAAGGGAAAAAGACAGTATAAAAAACTTTAGGAGACAAAAAAGAAAAATAACTGAATAAGAAAGGAAGGAAGGAAGGAAGGAAGAAAGAAAGAAAGAAAGAAAGAAAGAACGAAAGAAAGAAGGAGAAAGAAAGAATGGGGGACAGAAAGAAAGGAAAGAAGGGAAGATGAATGGAAGATGAAGGGAGGGAGTGAGACAGAAAGGATAAAGAAAAACAGAAGTTCATGGGGATAAAAAAAGAAAAGAAAAAGGAAGGAAAAATGAAAGAAAGGAAGGAAGGAAGAAGGAGGCTAAAAGAAAGGATGAAAGAAAGAAAGAAAGAAAGAAAGAAAGAAAGAAAGAAAGAAAGGAAGAAAGAAAGAAAGAATTGCGTGAGAATACGATCAGGTAGAAGGGAAAAAGACAGTATAAAAAACTTTAGTAGACAAAAAAGAAAAATAACTGAATAAGGAAGGAAGGAAGGAAGGAAGGAAGGAAGAAAGAAAGAAAGAAAGAAAGAACGAAAGAAAGAAGGAGAAAGAAAGAATGGGGGACAGATAGAAAGGAAAGAAGGGAACATGAAGGGAAGATGAAGGGAGGGAGTGAGACAGAAAGGATAAAGAAAAACAGAAGTTCATGGGGATAAAAAAAGAAAAGAAAAAGGAAGGAAAAATGAAAGAAAGGAAGGAAGGAAGAAGGAGGCTAAAAGAAAGAAAGAAAGAAAGGAAGAAAGAAAGAAAGAATTGCGTGAGAATACGATCAGGCAGAAGGGAAAAAGACAGTATAAAAAACTTTAGTAGACAAAAAAGAAAAATAACTGAATAAGAAAGAAAGAAAGAAAGAAAGAAAGAAAGAAGACGGAAATTAAACAAGTTAGCTGTAAGGAAATAGTAATATTAACAGGAAATGATTTGATTGCTTGCGAACTGCTGAGAATGAAAAGGTAGCAATCAGATACGATTATAGTGATCGACAAAGGGAATGAGAAAGAGATTTGAAAAGAAAAGGAAAAAAGGAAGACAGATAGAAAGATAGATAAATAGTGAGAAAGACCGAGAGATAAGGAGAGTGACAGAGAGTAATTGACACAAGAACAGTGTCAACATAGTCGAGGCAGACAAGCAATTTCCCATTACCGCTGGCTGACCACCGCCTCGAGGCCCTCCTTGCAAGGTAGATGTAGGTCAGTCGCCCCCGGGGCTCGAATACGGTGTTCTGTATGGCACCTGCCGCAGGGGATCTCACACTTGCCTCGCTTGATTACTCGGCCTGCTCAATGAAGGTCTCCACTAATTACAGAATTCATTGTCAATAACGCTCCATCAAGACCCTCTGTACTGGTCAGTTGTTACAGAGCGTTACTTGATCAGCCTGAGTTCTCCAATCGATCTGTGTATATATGGATGCTGGAATGTGCCAACGGGGGTTAAGGCATTACACCATTGGGTTCATTGTTTGACAATCGTTAACAAACCGCCGTGCTGAGATACGAAGACGGTGTATTGAGGTTTGAACAAAAAGAAATCTGAATAGATCAGTTGGCGGAAATTTCTTCGGTCTCTGTTTGGTAACCAGGTCTACTTTTTACGATTTTGGTGTTTGTAGGCAGTGCCAGCATCATTAAAAGACAGTGGTGAATAGGAGAAAAAAAAAGGAAGTAGCTTTATTTTTTTATTTTTATTTAAGTACGGCCACAAAGCCCACCCCAAAACACGAAGCAAACTCAAGTATTTATTTTCATTTATGGCTACAATTCATTTCGGGATCTATCTATCTATCTATCTATCTATCTATCTATCTATCTATCTATCTCAGTCTGATCATATCTGTCTATCCTTCTCAGCCAGATCACATCTATCATCTATCTATCTATCTATCTATCTATCTATCTATCTATCTATCTCAGTCTGATAATATCTATGTATCCTTCTCAGTCTGATCACATCTATCTATCTATCTATCTATCTATCTATCTATCTATCTATCTATCTATTCTCAGTCAGATCATATCTATCTATCTATCTATCTATCTATCTATCTATCTATCTATCTATCTATCTCAGTCTGATCATATTTATGTATTCTTCTCAGTCAGATCACATCTATCTATCTATCTCTATCTATCTCAGTCAGATCACATCTATCTATCTATCTATCTATCTATCTATCTATCTATCTATCTATCTATCTATCTATCTCAGTCTGATCATATCTATGTATCCTTCTCAGTCTGATCACATCTATCTATCTATCTATCTATCTATCTATCTATCTATCTATCTATCTCAGTCAGATCACATCTATCTATCTATCTATCTATCTATCTATCTATCTATCTATCTATCTATCTATCTCAGTCTGGTCATACCTATCTATCCTTCTCAGTCTGATTCTATCTATCTATCTATCTATCTATCTATCTATCTATCTATCTATTCTCAGTCAGATCACATCTATCTATCTATCTATCTATCTATCTATCTATCTATCTATCTATCTATCTATCTATCTATCTCAGTCTGATCATATCTATGTATCCTTCTCAGTCTGATCACACCTATCTATCTATCTATCTATCTATCTATCTATCTATCTATCTATCTATCTATCTATCTACAGGCAGACATTTAGATTTGATGTTATACTGAAAAGTTCTCGAGTTGACGCACTTCCAAAAAATTATGATCAAATAATGAAGCATCCCAAAATATTTTCTAATATCTCTTGGTCGGGACGATAATTTTTCAGGAACCCCTTCCTATCTATCTATCTATCTATCTAGCTAGCTAGCTAGCTAGCTAGAACTGACATTTGAATTAGACGGAAAAAAATTTAAGGTCAAATTAAAACTGACAGACAAAAGATAGGAAAACTTTATTTATTTGGGTAGAGTAATTCAAAGAAGTGAACCTCCAACTCGTGTATACGAACCAACCGTTAAGAGCTGGGTGTACCGATAAACTACCATTATCAGCCACACAACTCTATCTATCTATATATTCGAACTATGTTTCTCATCTTTGTTGTTGTTATCACAATCGTTCGGCCGTTGTGCCCTCCGGCCTTCATCAGGTATATATCGATCTGGGTGATAGCAGAAACAAAGATGGACATAATAGTTCGAATATAAATAGTGTAAATAATGATTTGTTATTTTTTAACATAAATTTTGAAAGTAGAATAGCGTGGCGTTATGTTTAAATTTTTAAATAAATATACAACAAAAATAATTAAAAATGAAAAGTATTTTTTAAAAATACACTAAATACTAAAGTAAGGCTGGAAGAACATCAAAAAGCTGTAGTGAGGAGTGAAACAATGAACTCGGGCATGGCCGATCATGTATGGGGGTAAAAGGGTAATCATCAACACCTGTGGAATGAAGTGAAAATACTGGACAAGGAAGAGCATTGAAGAGTTAGACGTTTGAAAGAATCAGCATATATGTTACGGTACAAGAACGTCGTTAGTAGACCTAGCACAGACATAAATACGATATGGAAGACACTACTAAAGAAAGAAAAATGACAGCAAATCTTCAACAGTTTCAGGCTGTAACAAAAGAGAAAAACGGTGAGTGCAGTCAAGCATGACAAAAAACAGCAACAATCATCAGTAGAAGTCAATTCAGAACTCCCTGTAGGTCAACCGGATCGATATATATCTGATGAAGGCCGGAGGGTGCAACATCCGAAATGTTGTGACAAATTTGTTATAGTCTTCCTCTTTGGTACTTAGACTTTATGAATTCAAGCGTACTATTAAATTGGCGACAAGGTCTCACCATCTTACAATCGAAATGGCTAGATGTAACCGCAAGTTCTATTTTAACAGTTCCCTCTCTCATACTTTTCGCTTGTGGAACTCTGTTCGGGCTTCTTTCTTTTCAATCACTTTTGTGCTTCAAAAGTTTAAATACGATATCAGTTGTTATGTTTTGTTATCTTAATTCTCATTCTTTTTTGTTCTCTCCTCCCCTTGATGTTTTCTTTTTTTTTCTCATATTCAGTCACTTTTTTCTCTAATCTCTCAAAAATAACAACAATAATCCGAATGTAAATTGTGTAAATATTGATTAATCTTAATCCCAGAAATCCAGACACAAGAATGCTAAGTTTATTTTCTACCAATAAACTATCCAGTTACTTTGAAAATCATTTAACTATTCAATACACAAAAACATTATAACAACTAACTTCCAGACAATCAAAGATTCGGTCATAAAACGATAGGAAATGAAAAAAGCATTCAAGGAATAATGTATAGCGACTCGGCTTGAGGAATCGGAGAGCCGAGTTCGAATTCCAGTCGGATCCATTATATTCACTTATGTGCTAATACTCTTGGGAAAGGTATGAAACCTCTTCTCTCAGCTATGGGTAAATAACGGGACAGACTGGTTGGCAACTAGTCTACCTCAGAAAGAAATGGCAACCTATTGGGGGAAAAAGATCTTCTTTGTCAACGTGTATCAAGCATGCCACATAATTAACTGATATAAGATATATTACATCCAAAACAAATATATTTGCAAAATATTTAGAAATCTGAAGATCAAAATTTATTGACACGGAAGAGACTTTTGTTAACATATTTAAAAACAAACTCCTTCGGTAGGCTTTCCTTTATCCCTCATTACCTTCATTCTGTCCCGTGAGTATCAAATTTTCCAAGCACTCTTTCCTCATTATGTGCCCTAGAAATTTCAACGGTCTCTTCCTGATGTTAAGTATAAGTGTCCTTTTTGTTTCCATTTTCTCTAAAACTTGCTAGGTAGGTTATGCATTGTTTTCCTCTATCCCTCTTTGCCTTCAATCTGTCCTGTGAGTATCAAATTTTCCAAGCCCACTTTCCTCATTATGTGCTCTAGAAATTTCAATTCTCTCTTCCTGATGTTAAATATAAATGTCCTTTTTGTTTCTATTTTCTCTAAAGCTTGCTAGGTAGGTTATGCGTTGTTTTCCTTTATCCCTCTTTGCCATCAATCTGTCCTGTGAGTATCAAATTTTCCAAGCCCTCTTTCCTCAATATGTGCCCTAGAAATTTCAACTCTAGCTTCCTGATATTAAATATAAATGATCTTTTTTGTTTCTATTTTCTCTAAAGGTTGCTAGGTAAGTTATGCATTGTTTTCCTCTATCCCTCTTTACCGTTAATCTCTCCTGTGAGTATCAACTTTTCCAAGCCCTCTTTCCTCATTATGTACTCTAGAAATGTAATCTCTCTTTCTGATGTTAAGTATAAATGCTGTTTTTGTTCCTATTTTCCTTAAAAGCTCACGTTGTTCGCATGTTCAGTTCATGGGATTCTTAGTATTCTTTTCTAAAACCACATTTACCTTGCCTCAGATGTCTACTTCATTCGAGAGGAGATTGTCGAGCATTCACGGCAATATAGGAGAACCGATATTACGTAAAAGTCCAGTTACCTTTTCTTTGTTTCTCACACAATTTTCCTCTTTTTTAATATTTTGCTTAACTTTTGGAAGGCATCTTTCGTTATTCCAATGCACCTTCGGATTTCAGTGTCGCATTTTCTGTCGTCGGTTAAAAAACTTTCTAAACACTTCTTCAATTTGTAGTTAGCATAAATAAAGAGCAGAATGTATTAAAGAAAGATACCGAAGATGAATCTTAATACAATGAATCAGTTTCACTTCTTCATAATTACCACTATTCGCAAAAAGTTATACATCTTACTTATTATAAAACGCAGATTGTGTGTGTGTGTGTGTCTGTACGTTTATATATTGGATCGGATTTCCTACATTTTTCAACCGATTTCAACAAAACTTCACAGGACTACGTAAAATTACCTTGCGGTGGTTCTAACAGCGCCCAAAATTGGAAAAACACAATTGTTTTTGCACGAAATCAATTTGAAACCACGATTAAGAGGCATCACTGTCGCGAGAATGAAAGGGGGACAACTCATATCGAGTTATACTTATTATAAAACCCAGGTTGTTTGTGTGTGTGTGTGTCTGTGTTCGTTTATATATGGGATCGGATTTCCTACATTTTTCAACCGGTTTCAACAAAACTTCACTTTTTTTTTGGCAGGTAGTGTTTCTTATTGTCTTGCACACTTTTTTCTTTATTTTTACATTCTGAATGCTTTAAAAATTCCATTTACAAGACAATTGTTTATAATAAAATTCTATTCAATCGGTAGACTCATAACGATTGAAAACAATGTTTTTGTTTGAGTTTGGGTTTGACCCATTCGTAAATAAATAAAAAAATAAAAAGAAAATAAACAAAAAATAAAACTAATTAAGACAACCTTAAACAATAATCTTTGTCCATTTTATTTTTCAGTCTTTATGATGGTCGATACTTGATCTATCTCTTACTGTTACATCCCCGAACAACGCCGGGCTCTACTGCTAGTAAAGGATATAAGGAGCAGATATTTGCAGATGAAATAACTAAGTAATATGTATTTACGTCGAGCATTCTTCATATTTATCATACAATTAAAATACACGAAGAAAACCAATATTAATACTGATTAAAATTGCGTTAACATTTCACGAACTGAACATAAACTCAGACGTTCTAAGATAAGCAGGCGACGTATACCCAACAAGTGAAAACAGAATTTTAAAAGTACATGCATAAACACGAACGGCATAAGAAATACACGTGACTTCTACACGACCAATGAAATCAATACTGTGCGCTTATTTCCCTTTCAAAAATAAAGGATAAATAAATAGAGAAAAATCTCAAATTTATAAAAATCTATCTATCTATCTATCTATCTATCTATCTATCTATCTATCTATCTGTCTATTTTATTCTGCTTCTATGTACTTATTCGATCTATTCTATCTATCTATGCGTGTTTTTTGGATGTAGGATAGTATTCGACCAAAAGTTAATAACCACGCGTTTCGCTTCCGTATGCTAGATTGTCGCCTTCAGGTCAACAGGTAAGTTAAAAAACGCTAAAAAAAACAAAAAAACAAACAAACAAAAAAAAAAAACACGAAAAATAAGCACATTTCTTTCCTTTCATTCAGGCCTGAATATGCGAACCTAGCAATCGGGGGTAAAACCCGTTTTCATTAAACAAAAGCTTTTCCACAACGTTTAATTTCCTGACTATCTATCTATCTCAGTTCGTTCATTATCTATCTATCTATCTATCTATCTATCTATCTATCTATCTATCTCAGTTCGCTCGTTATTTATTTATCTATCTCTCTCTCTCAATTCGTTCATTATCTATCTATCTATCTATCTCAATTCGCTCATTATCAATGTCTATCTATCTCTCTCTCTCTCTCTCTCTCTCTCTCTATATATATATATATATATATATATATATATAATTTTTTGGTATTGTTTGTGTTGGGTACGATCCACCTAATTTACATAGTGGAGTACCGACCATATAAATATGGTTGGTACCGGAAAGATGGTAAATATGGTTGGTACCGGGAAGATGGTGAGGAAGAAGAGATCCAATCCAGTCAACCCATTCTACAGGAACGGTCTTCCCAAGAATATACCAAAACTCTCTGTAAATATTGTGTACACGTTCTTGTGTCAATACATTTTGTTTAAGTACATTTTGTGTTGTATTATTATTATTCCATGCTTTATTCAAGTTTCAACAGTTTGAAACAATTATTTGCAGTTATGCAAATGAATAGAGATTCATAACTTCAACTGACAATACCGAAATTTCTTCCCTGGTTCAGCTGAAACTTTATGTCGTAAGACTAAATTATAGTTGGTTTTCATTGCAACTTTTCATTCAACGACTCGTGTTTACTCGATCTCAAGACAAGAAAATTTAGCAATATTCTGGCGGCTTGTGATACAGTACAATTATTAAATAATAAAGCTTTCAGTTCTATTATTGTTTGCCCAATACAAAGCCTGAGTGCCACTCATGGTAGATGATTATTAAATAGGAATATTGTAGCGGTGTATAGAGAGGGAGGAAAGGTTACATATTATGAGGATATGTGGGATAGATAAAGGTAGGGCATCGACTTAAAGCGGTCAGAATAAAGCATCCTTTCGGGTGTTCGTTCCATATTGCAACAGTTCCGGTTGAAGGAGCCATCTGAGTGGAACTAACTCTTTACTAATGGAAGATGAAAGGGGTGAGAATGAGTCGACTCTGTGTACTTAAGCTGACAGGTCCTAATTGTGAAGGTCTGAACTGGTGGCACAAAGGAATGTAGTGTGTTTGAAAATCTGTCATGAAAACAGCGATAGAGGAGCGTGAGACGAGAAGTGTTTGTGGGAAAGGCGATGTCGGGTGGAAAACGTTTTACCATCCACGAGGCGTCGCGAAGGCTTTTAAACTCGGTCGACGATGGAAAGTGAGGATTGCGCAGATCCGGCTTAGATATGACAGAAATACTCTCTTTTTGGTCTGCTCTGGCTCTTGTAGAGATAGAGCCTGTCTGGAGTAGCCAGATGCTTTATGGGCTGATACAGGTCGTCGACCATTTTTCCAGCATCTTTAGCGATGGATCGTACATACGAGATCGACTAGTGTGAGTTTGATTCCCAATACACGTTCCGGAGGGGCTTCATTTACAGTACAACCATTTTGAACAAAAGTTACTAGCATACTTTGGAAGTATTAAATGTTGCAAACCAGTTCCCCCACATTGAGCTGTGTACGCAAGGTTAGAGGATAGATTATCCTTGCATGGACTATTGCTGTCATATATGGTCTGGTGCATCCTCTGCGCGTCTCGAGGTCCTAGACAAAATCCAAAAACGAATATGCAATATGATAGGTCCTGATATAGCTTCTCGTCTACAATCGCTTTCCCACAGACGTGCCGTGACTTCCCTTTATCTCTTTTAGAAGTGTTTTCACGGCAACTGTTTCAACGAGCTACTTTCGCTGGTTCCCAGACTGCACGATTTTAAGCGAGCTACCAGGCTGCCATCTCGGTCCTACAATTTCACTGTTAAATGTAAACGTCTCTTCTACTCAAACAGCTTCTTCTCCTGCACTTCCCGTCTGTGGAACTCCCTTCCCCTTACTTGCTTCCTTGATGACTATAATCTTCAAATATTCAAGTGTAATGTCAATCGACATCTGACACCCTGAGCTTGTTCCCCGCCCTTCTCTGTATCCTTTCCTCGAACATTCCTCTTTATTCTTGTTCTCAATCCTCTGTAACCCCTTGCGAGCTAGTAGCACTCCCACCTTGCTTGAGGTGAATTGCTTAAAAAAACCGAAAAAAAACCCCCAAAAAACCAAAGATCAGAAGCTTAGGTTCTGGTCATCTAGATTTTTAGCGGTGATCACTAAAACCGTAGTATCGTCTGCTTATATATTTAGTAGTTATCTGCGAATAGTGTTAGACATATCGTTAAAATATAGCGGGAAAATGATAGGACTGAGGAAAGAGGCTTTCTGAACGCATGCATTGATATCATGCGCGCTATAACTTCATAACCGAGAAGATACTCCCCTCCATTTGTGTAGCAGCACTCCCGCCTATACCACATAAATTTCCGACATATCTAAGGCGATTGGTCTCGTGATAACTTCGCTTTTTCTATGCATAATGACAATTAAGACATCAGCAGTGGACCTAGAGAAGCGACATTCATACTGTTCGTCACTCAGGAAGTTGCTACTGTTGAAGTGATCAACAACTTTCTTGTTGATGATGCTCTCAAAAAATTTGCTGATGACACTCGCATTTTTGTAAACTTGATATACAGCTAACACGTTCTATAGGCATGGGAAATATTTCTCCAGGATAAGAGAGACCATTGCGACAAGGGTCTTAAAAACCACTACGGGAATTTTATCCGGACCAGTAGCCTTTATAGAATAAAGGCTTTTTATATGTTAGGAAACCTTCTGAGCCGAGACAGACGTATATCAAAGTTTGTGTTCCATGAGAAGTGGGTAAGTCATGTAGGGGATTTCTCTTGTCGTCTAACGTAGAGTTAGAAGCAACTTTCATTGCAAAGATCTGAGACTTATCTGACGCGGCAAAGATAACCTCATGGCCATTTATGATAGAAGACCCAGGCGTTGTGCCTCTGTTGAGAATCTTATTTGAAATCTTCCAGAACACGTGGGATCCAAGTTTAAAACTTTGGCTTGTGCTTAGCATTTTTTTTTTAGTTATATCGGGCAAATATGATGATGATTCACAACATTTATTTAAAAGAAACCATCTGTATGCAGGCGGGAAATTGGCTAAGCAAGTAGAAAGACGGGTAAGACAAAGATATGTTTTATCTTCTATGGGCGATTATGGCCCTCTACAATTTCCTATCTTTTGTAGCTCTTAGTAAATTTTATGTTTTCGCTATATTTCGTGAACCCTATTTTGCAAATAAACAAAACTCATTAGGTAGGTTTTGTGCTATTTTCTTCTGTAGGTCGTCGTCAATATGTCCTCTGAGTATCGTATTTTCTAAACACTCTTTCTCAATTATGTGCCAATAGACATTGCAATTTCTAGGGCACATAAAGAGGAAAGAGAGCTTAGAAAATTTGATACTCACAGGACAGACTGGATGTCAGAGGGCCAGAGAAAACCAATGCACAATATATCTGGTGAGCTTGAGCAAATGGATGGCGAAGCAGGATTTGGGAGATTTTTATTTTTAAGCGTCTCACCCCAAGCAAGGGGTTACAGAAAATTTGGAGCAAGATCAGATAGGAGTGATAGAGGAAAAGATGAGGAGAAGGATAGTGGATAGATCAAGGCAACTGGAGATGTCGATTGACATTACATTTGAATAGCTGGAGATTATAGCTCTCAGGGAAACTGGAATAGGGAAGGGAGTTCCACAGACGAGAGGTGCGAGAATGAAGCTAGTGGAGTAGAAGAGACGGCTACATTTAGTAGTCTCGACAGTGAAAGGGTGAGAGTGGGATGCCAGCCTCGTAGGGCGCTTGAATTCATGAATTCTGGGAACCAGCGAATGCAACTACTCGAAGCAATTGCCATGAAAGTATTTGTAAAAAAAGACAGACACAGGCGACGGCGCGACTGTGAGAGAGCGACTGTAGACGAGATGCCAGAACAGGGCCAATTATATTGCATATCCGCCTCTGGAGCCTATCAAGAACCCCGAGGCAAACAGAAGGGGCTTCAGACCATATATGGCAGATATGTCAAAAAACATGAAGGCCAGAGAAAAGCAACGCACAACCTACCTGGTGAGCGAATGGATGGTAGAACAGGATTTGAGAGATAAGACAAAAAAACAAAAAAAAAAACGAAACAAATGTTATTAAGAGCTCCAAAAGAGAGGAAATTGTGAAGAGTCATGATCGCCAGCATCCTGAAGGGATATGGCACATAGAAGAAGAAATACAGAAAATAAATAAAACCCTTATGCCTTAGGCTCGGCCAAAAAATAGCTCATTGAACACGTATAAACGGGTTCAGGGCCGGTTTTACCTCCCAGAAGGAGACTCCGCCCTTCGGCGTAACCTCTATCGGGTTCCTCTCCGTCCGTAGACAGAGAGTTGAACCGAACAGTCGCTTAGAAAGTGAGAGTCTGACGATATTCAGTCACCCCCCAACGAGGGTGTCATGTGGCACAAGGCCTTTTTAACGTGGGCTTTCCGAGCCATTACGATCGGCCAAAAAATAGCTCATTGAACCCGTATAAACTGGTTCAGGGTCGGTTTTACCTCCTCGAAGGAGACTCCGCCCTTCGGCGTGGCCTCCTTCGGGTTCCTTCCCCCACCGTAGGAAGAGAGTACAACCAAACAGTCGCTCAGAAAGTGAACGACTGACAGTATTCAGTCTCCCCCCCGCACTGGGGCAACATGTGACACAAGGCCGTTTTAACGTGGGCATTCCCGAGCCATTAGGCTCGGCCAAAAAATAGCTCATTGAACACGTATAAACGGGTTCAGGGCCGGTTTTACCTCCCCGAAGGAGACTCCGCCCTTCGGCGTGGCCTCCTTCGGGTTCTTCTCCGTCCGTAGACAGAGAGTTTAACCGAACAGTCGCTCAGAAAGTGAGAGTCTGACAATATTCAGTCACCCCCCACGAGGGTGACGTGGGCACAAGGCCTTTTAACGTGGGCATTCCCGGCCATTAGGCCGGCCAAAATAGCTCCACGTATAAACGGGTTCAGGGCCAGTTTACCTCCCCGAAGGAGACTCCGCCCTTCGGCGTGGCCTCCTTCGGGTTCTTCTCCGTCCGTAGACAGAGTTTAACCGAACAGTCGCTCAGAAAGTGAGCGTTTGACAATATTCAGTCACCCCCCCACACGAGGGTGTCATACAAGGCCTTTTTAACGTGGTTTCCCGAGCCATTAGGCTCGGCCAAAATAGCTCTATTGAACACGTATAAACGGGTTTCAGGGCCAGTTTTACCCCCTGAAGGAGACTCCGCCCTTCGGCGTGGCCTCCTTCGGGTTCTTCTCCGTCCGTAGACAGAGAGTTTAACCGAACAGTCGCTCAGAAAGTGAGCGTTTGACAATATTCAGTCACCCCCCCCCACACGAGGGTGTCATGTGGCACAAGGCCTTTTTAACGTGGGCATTCCCGAGCCATTAGGCACGGCCAAAAAATAGCTCATTGAACACGTATAAACGGGTTTCAGGGCCATTTACCTCCCCGAAGGAGACTCCGCCCTTCGGCGTGCCTCCTTCGGGTTCTCTCCGTCCGTAGACAGAGAGTTTAACCGAACAGTCGCTCAGAAAGTGAGCGTTTGACAATATTCAGTCACCCCCCCCCACGAGGGTGTCATGTGGCACAAGGCCTTTTAACGTTCCTGGCACTCCCTGGAATAAGCCATTGAACACGTATAAACGGGTTCAGGGCCAGTTTTACCTCCCCGAAGGAGACTCCGCCCTTCGGCGTGGCCTCCTTCGGGTTCTTCTCCGTCCGTAGACAGAGAGTTTAACCGAACAGTCGCTCAGAAAGTGAGCGTTTGACAATATTCAGCCCCCCCACGAGGGTGTCATGTGGCACAAGGCCTTTTTAACGTGGGCACTCCCGAGCCATTAGGCTCGGCCAAAAAATAGCCCATTTGAACCCGTATAAACGGGTTTTGGGCCGGTTTTACCTCCCCGTAGCCTCCTTCGGGTTCCTCTTGACCGGACTGAACTGCCGCTTCCTCTTGAGGCGCAGTATTTATTACGTATGGTAACACCTAGTGACCTTGAGCGAATGGATGGTGGAGCAGAATTTGGGAGATATGTCAAATAACATCAGAGGGCCAGATATGGCAAAGAACATTAGGGGGCCAGAGAAAAGCAATGCACAACCTACCTGGTGAGCTTGAGTAAATTGATGGCGGAGCAGGATTTGGGAGATATGGCAAAAAAAAAACAAAACAAAACAAAAAAAAAACAGATGTTATTAAAAGCTACAAAAGAGAGGAAATTGTGGAAATCAATGATCGTCAACACCCTCATATACATAAACAAAGACTATCAGAAAATCGACTAGAAATTTGCCCAGCTAGGCAATTTGATTTCTATAGAAAATCCATATTTGATTTTTCTTACATATATATTGTCGTATTTAATTCTTTTCTGCAAAGTATGTGTATAAATAGAGCATTTGGACTTAAGCGGTGATTTTCTTGATCCTATACCATATTTTTCCAAAGGCGTTAGAAAGACCCCCCAATTAGCAACGGATTAGACTGCTTTGTGAACAAATTTTGAATTTTCGTTTCTAGGAAACATGAAATAGCTGCGACAGTGATATATAATAAAGTCGATAGTATCCATTCTCGAGTGAAGAGCTGGTCTGTGTAGAGGTTTAACAAAAAGCATAAAAGATTGACAAATGTTGACACTAGCCGCCATATTAAAGTTATTCAGTTTATGCTCATCAAAAAAAGCCAATCACTGATCAGCGTTGAACAAGAACGAAAAGGTTATGTAAAGAAAAGAGTGCCACAAAGGTAAGATTGGGTTGACAGGAGAATGAAGTGAGAAGAAGGCAAAGGAGAAAGACAAGGTGATAGAAAGGTTGTATGTAAGAGCTAAAGAAAGAAAGTGTGATATAAAAGCAACTTTAAATTCAACGGGAAAAGGAGAAATGAAGAAGGAAAAGAAAGACAAAAAGAAAGTAAGGAGATAGAAGAAGTGAGAAAGAGGAAGACAATAGAAACAAGTGTAAAAGATAAGAGAAAAAGGAATAAACGGGTTTAAAGAGAAACAAGATTAGAAGTAAAAAGTAAGAAAGCATGGAGAAGAGAGAGGCAAGAGGAAGGAAATGTAGTGATAAAAAAGAATAAAGAAATAATATAAAAGAAAGCAAGTCCGAATTAAGAGAAAAGCAAAGTTAAAAGAAAGAAATTGGAGAAAATAAGGCAGAGAAATGAAAAAAAAAAAAAAAACAGAACTGTAAATAGTAACAGGAATAAAGAACTAATACAGAAACGAAGCCATAGCGAAATGAAAGAAATGAAAGATATTTAGTCAAAAAATGAAATATATAGAGAAAAAGCAATCAACAACCAATACAAAAATGAAGGTATTTCGAAATTTCGAGAGAAAACAGGCTGCAAAAATGAAATTGAATAAAGTACAGCAGAGAAAGGCAAGAGGGAAGGAATCCAGAAGGTAAAAGGAAGTAAAAAAAAAACCAATGTAGAAACGAAGGAGCGAGAAAAGCAATGTTAAAAGAAAGAAATGACATAAAAAAAGGGCAGTCAAAGGCAAGAAAAAGAAATGTAGACAGTAAAGGGAATAAAAAACCAATATCAAAATGAAGCATCGTCGAATTAAGATAGAAGAAAGGTTAGAAGAAAGAAATGGAATGGAGTCAAGCGGAGAAAGGCCAGAGGAAGAAATGTCGAGGCTGAAAGGAATAACGAACCAATATAGAAAGGAAGCAAGGCCTAATTAAGAGAGAATAAAAGTTAGAAGAAAGAATAGAAATAAAATGAGGCAGAAAAACGAAAAAAAAAAAAAAAAAAAAAAAAAGCAATGCCGAGGTTAAAATAAATAAAGAATCGACATAAAGAAATCAAGTTCGAATTAAGCGACGAGCAAAGTTAGAAGAAAGAAATGAAATGAATTGAAGTAGAGAAAGACAAGAGGAGAGAAATGTAACAGGAATAAAGAAATATTAAATCGAAGTAGCTTCGAATTAAGCGACTAGCAACGTTAGAAGAAAGAAATGAAATGAATTGAGGCTGAGAAAGACAAGGAAAAGAAATATAAAAAGTAAAAAGGAATAAAGAACCAATATAAATAGGAAACATTTTCGAAGTAAGTGTTAAGTACTATTAGAAGAAAATGAAAGAAAAAATGTAGAGGGTAAAAAGGAAGAAACGAAAAACGAAGCAATCCCGAATTAAGCGGAAGACAGCTCAGAAGGAGGAAAAGAAATGAAGAAAGGTAAGAGTATAGAAAGGGTAAAGGGAATAAAGAACAATATACAAATGAAGCAAATTCAAGTTAAGAGAGAAGCAAGGTTAGAAGAAAAAAAATGAAATAAAATGTGACAGAGAAAGGCAAGAAAAAGAACTGTATATTTGTAAAGAAATGTTGATGTAATATATAATGTAATGTATAATATATATATAATATGTAATATAATATAAAACATTAGATATTATATAACAATATATAATATATATAATCTCTAATATATAATATATATATATATATATATATATATATATATATATATATATATATAATGTAATATAATATATAATGTAAGTAATGTATATTTGTAAAGAAAAACATACGTATATTTTTAAAGGAATAATGAAGTATCTTTGAAATAATAGAGAAGCAAGATTATAAGAAATAAATAGAAGTGAGGTAGAGAAGATAAGAAAAATAAATGTCGATGGTAAAAGGAATAAAGAACAAGTTCAAAAAGGAAACAAGTTCGAACTGATAAAAAAGCAAGGTTAGAAGTAAGAAATGAAATTACAAGCAGAGAAGGGCAAAGAAATGCAGATAATAAAAGGAGTGAATGACTAATATAAAATGAAAGCCATTCGAATTAGGTTTGATGACAGTTTAGAAGAAAGAAATGAAATGAAGTGAGGTAGAAAAAGAAATGAGGAAAGCCACGTAGAGTGTTCAAGCAATAGAGAACTGATATAAAAAGGAAGCAATTTCCAATTAAGAGAAGCGAAGTTAGAAGAAAGAAATGAAATGAAGTAATGTGGAGAACTACAAAAGGAAAGAAATGTACAGGGTAAAAGGAATAAAGAACGAATATAAAAATGAAGTTCGAATTATGAGAGACCTCATGTTAGAAGAAATAAAAGAAATGAAGTTAGACGGAGACAGGCAAGCGTAAAGAAATGCAGCGTCTTAATAGAGTAAAGAGTCAACATAAAAGTGGGGCGATTTTGAATGAAGAGAGAAGCAATGTTAAAAGAAAGAAATGAAATGAATTATGGCGGAAAATCAAGTCGAAAGAAATGTAGAATAAAGAACCAATATAAAAAGGAAGCAATTTCGAATGAAGAGAGAACAGATGTCAAAAGAAAGAAATAAAATGAAGTGAGACAACGAAAGGCAAAAAGGAGCGACATGTAAAGCACAAAAAGAAATAGAGAAATAAATTAAGAGAAAGCCGCTTCCAATGAAGAGAGAAGCAAACTTAGAAGAAAGAAATGAAATAAAATGAGGTAGAGAAAGTCAAGAAAAGAAAATGTCGGGGGTAAAATGAATAAAGAACGAATATAAAAATGAAACATCTTCGAAGTAAAAGAGAAACAAGGTTAGAAAAAAAATAAAATAAAGTGAGGCGGAGAGATACAACAGGAAATAATTGTAGAGAGTGAAAGGAATAAAGAATTAATATAAAAAGGAAGCATTTTCGAATTAAGAGAAATGGAAGAAAAGAAAGAAGAAAACATTAAACAAAATGAGGGAAAGAAAGACAAGAAAATGAAATGTTGAGGGTAAAAGTAATAAAAACGGAGTAAGTTCGAATGGTGAGATAAGCACTGGCAGAAAAAAAGAAATGAAATGAAGTGAGGCATAGAAAGGCAAAGAAAAGAAATGTAGAGGTTAAAAAGAAATTAAAAACTAATATAAAAAGTTCGAATTAAGACAGAAGCAGGGTTAAAAAAAGAAAGAAATGAAAGGAACTGTGACAGATGTTTTAGAAAAGAGATAGCAAAAAAATGAGAGAGAATACGTAAAGTGAAGTAGTATAGAAGCGAAGACTAATTTAACGATTACATAGAGGCCTGATACTAAGAAAGAAAGAAAGAAAGAAAGAAAGAAAGAAAGGAAAAGAAAGAAAGAAAAAATGGGATGCACAAAGAAGGGGAGAAAAGAAAGAAAAATTATGCACAAAGAAGGAATGAAAAGAAAGAAAGAAATAAACAAAGAAAGAAACGGTATGCACAAAGAATCGGTGAAAGAAAGAAAGAAAAAAGAAAAAAGAAAGAAGGAAGGAAGGAGAGAAAGAAAGAATGAAAGAAAGAAAGAAAGAAAGAAAGAAAGAAAGAAAGAAAGAAAAAGAGAGAAAAAAAAATGGGATGCACAAAGATGGGGTGAAAAGAAAGAAAAGTTATGCACAGAGAAGGAATGAAAAGAAACAAAGAAATAAACAAAGAAACAAAGAAAGAAACGGTATGCACAAAGAATCGGTGAAAAGAAAGAAAGAAAGAAAGAAAAAAAAAAAAGAAAAATAAAAAGAAAAAAGAAAAGAAAAGAAAGAATGGGATGCACAAAAGAAGGGGAAAAGAAAGAAAAGTTATGCACAAAGAAGGAATGAAAAGAAAGGAAAAAATAAACAAAAAAACAAAAAAAAGAAACGGTATGCACAAAGAATCAGTGAAAAAAGAAAAGAAAGAAAGAAAAGAAAGAAGGAAAAGAAAAGAAAGAAAAAAAAAAAAAAAACAAAGAAAGAAGAAAAAGAAAGAAAAATGGGATGCACAAAAAGGGGTGAAAAGAAAAAAAGTTATGCACAAAGAAGGAAATGAAAAGAAAGGAAAAAAAAAGAAACAAAGAAAGAAAACGAAGAAAAGAATCAGTGAAAAGAAAGAAAGAAAGAAAGAAAAGAAAGAAAAGAAAGAAAGAAAGAAGAAAAGGAAGAAAGAAAGAAAGAAAGAAGAAAAGAAAGAAAGAAAGAAAGAAAAGAAAGAAAGAAAGAAAGAAAGAAAAAGAGAGAAAGAAAAATGGGATGCACAAAGAAGGGGTGAAAAGAAAGAAAAGTTATGCACAAAGAAGGAATGAAAAGAAAGGAAAAAATAAACAAAGAAACAAAGAAAGAAACGGTATGCACAAAGAATCAGTGAAAAGAAAGAAAGAAAGAAAGAAAGAAAGAAAGAAAGAAGAAAAGAAAGAAAAAAAGAAAAAGAAAGAAAGAAAGAAAAGAAAAAAGAAAGAAAAAAGAAAAGAAAGAAAGAAAAGAAAAGAAAGAAAGAAAGAAAGAAAGAAAAAAGAGAGAAAGAAAAATGGGATGCACAAAGAAACAAAGAAAGAAAAGGTATGCACAAAGAAGGAATGAAAAGAAAGAAAAAAAAAGAAACAAAAAAGAAACAAAAGAAAAGAAACAGAAAAGAAAGAAAAAAAAAGAAAGAAGAAAAAAAAAGAAAGAAAAGAAAGAAAGAAAGAAAAGAAAAGAAAAAGAAGGTGAAAAGAAAAGAAAGAAAGAAAAGAAAAAAAGAAAGAAAAAAGAAAAAAAGAAAAGAAAAGAAAGAAGAAAGAAAAGAAAAGAAAAAGAAAATGGGATGCACAAAGAGGGGGTGAAAAGAAAGAAAAAAATGATGCACAAAGAAGGAATGAAAAGAAAGAAAAAAAATAAACAAAAAACAAAAGAAAGAAATGGTATGCTAAAAGAATCAGTGAAAAGAAAAAAGAAAGAAGAAGAAGAAAAGAAAAAAAGAAAAGAAGAAAAAAAAAGAAAGAAATGAAGAAAATGAAAAAGAAAAAAAAGAAAGAAAAAAATAAAGAAAGAAAGAAGAAAAGAAAAGAAAGAAAGAAAAAGAAATGAAAAATGGGATTTTCTTCTCCGAGAAGAAAAGTATATGCAAAAAAAAATTACTAATATTGCTTTCTTTAAAAATTCAAAATGAAATAGAAAGTTATGCACAAAAAGAATCAATGAAAAGAAAGAAAAAAAACAAAAGAAACAAAATGAAAAAGAAACAGTTAAGACAAAGAATCATGGGATGCAAAAGAAATGAAAAGAAAAGAAGAAATAAAATAATGTACGTTTGAACAAAAAACAAAAGAAAAAATAGAATTTCGCACAAAGAAAAAAAATATGCTTAAAGGCGTAAAGAAGACAATTGAAAAAGAATGAAAATGAAATGTCATTGAACAAAAAAAAAAGCATGCTAAAAAAGAAAAACTTAGAATTTTACAAAGGATAAAAAAAGGATCAAATAAATAAATAAATAAATAAAGAAAAAAAAGAAAAATGAAAACGACAGTGAAAATTACTTGAAAAACAATATTGCGATCTTTCTTACAAAAAGCAAAAAGATTTACATGCTAAGGAGAATTACTAATATTGCTTTTCTTCAGAAAGAAAAAGAAAGAAGGAAGATTTTCTTTTTATTTCAAAAGAAAAAAAAGGTAAAATGAAAAAAAAAATTAATTAACAGGTTTTCTTCTTTTAAAAAGAAGAATCTTTCTTGCTAATGTCGGAAATTACAAGATAAGGATGAATTTTTCCATGGGAAATAGACTTCAATTATTCTAGCAGATGGAAGCTTAAACCATTCTATGTGCTTTAAGTTGAAAGAAATAAAAATTTCTTTGTTTTCTTTCTTTCTTTCTTTCTTTCTTTCTCCATGCCTAATAACGAATTTCAATTACTAATAGGCCGAAAGTTTTCTTTCTTTCTTTCACTACTCAGGCGTAATTGTTCTTTCAAGCTTTCTTTCTTTCATTTCTTTCTCAATGCTAATATATGCTTACTTTAATTACTAATGTTGCGATCTTTCTTTCTTTCTTTCTTTCTCCAGAATAGCGATTTTCAAGCTTTCTCCATGCTAATATAAGGCCGAAATTACTAATATTTCTTTCTTTCTTTCTTTCTTTTCTTTCTTTCTTTCTTTCTTTCTTTCTTTCTTTCTCCGTGCTAATATATAAGTGCTTTAATTACTACTGAAAATTTCTTTCTTTTCTTTTCTTTCTTTCTTTCTCCATGCTAATATATGCTTACTTTAATTACTAATATTGCTTTCTTTCTTTCTTTCTTTCTTTCTTTCTTTCTTTCTTTCTTTCTTTCTTTCTTTCTTTCTCCGTGCTAATATATGCTTACTTTAATTACTAATATTGCTTTCTTTCTTTCTTTCTTTCTTTCTTTCTTTCTTTCTTTCTTTCTTTCTCCATGCTAATATATACTTACTTTAATTACTAATATTGATTGATTGATTGATTTCTCTTTCTTTCTTTCTTTCTTTCTTTCTTTCTTTCTTTCTTTCTTTCTTTTTTTTTTCTTTCTTTCTTTCTTTCTTTCTTTCTTTCTTTCTTTCTTTCTCCATGCTAATATATGCTTACTTTAATTACTAATATTGCTTTCTTTCTTTCTTTCTTTCTTTCTTTCTTTCTTTCTTTCTTTCTTTCTTTCTTTTATCTACCCTCTCTCTCTTTAAATATATAAGGAATGATAAAATGGAAAGAACAAGAATAGTGGGAAAAAAAAAAGAAACAGAAGGAAAGAGATCTGAAAACATTAGAAGAAGAAAGAAAGAAAAGACAAGGAAAAATGTTAAAAAGAGAGAAAAACAAAATTGCAGGATAACAATAAAGAAGAAAGTGGAAATCGATGAAAGAAATATTGCATAATTAAAATAAGCAAACTAACAACAGGTGAAGGGTCCTTTGTACCAGGAAAGAAAAATAAATTAAAAAAAAAGAAAGAAATGATTAAATATAAAAATAACACACACACACACACACACACACACACACGGGAGTTTACGTTACTCGTGCCTGTAAGGTGACTTTAGGAGAAAATCGCTCTAATGTTTGATGTGTGTTCTCTCGGACAGTTTTTTGTTTCATTAATTGTTGGTCGAGTTGTTAGTAACGGGGATTTGAGGCCGTGGTTGTTTAAGGGAACACAGAGAATATCAATAGAACTGTCATAAAATGATCTCAAATTGATATTGAGCATTAAACTGAAAAAAAGAAAGAAAGAAAGAAAGAATGGGAAAGATGTTAAAGAAGTACACTGTTACAATGAAGAGAGAAAAAAGAAAGAAACAGGGAAGAAATATATATATATATATATATATATATAGAGAGAGAGAGAGAGAGAAAGAAGAAATTATAATAAAAGAAGTATAAGGTGACAAATTGAAATGTTGAAAAAGCACAAAAAGGAGAATTTTAAGTACAAAAGAACAGTTTAAAGTAAAGAGGAAGAAAAATAAAAAAAGATGAAAATTGAATATTGTGAAGAAGATACAAAGGAACAGGGAAAAAAAGAACGAAAAAAATAAAATAATATGAAGTGTGAAACTAAAAAAAAAGAAAATGGAGTACAAAGTGAGAGTGAATCAATTGACATAAAAAAATGAAAAAAAAGAACGAACACGTTGCAGGGTGGTCCGAAAGTCTTGACACGGCCTACAAAAAAGTAATGAGAACAATAGAACAATTAATACAGTAATACAAAGTCCTGTCGCGCATCTTCTATGCTTTTACCAGAATACACACGGCCATGTGTCCATACACTTGCAAGCAGCCTCTCTTCCAAACTGTAGGAGCTCGTGTCAGCCATCTGAAATAGAAAATTATATTATGCAAGGGTAGCAGGACTTTTGGACCGCCCTGTACAAAAAGAGGAAGAGAGAGAGAGACCAAGAAATGATAAAAAGACGTGACATCGCGAGAAGTTGGAAAAAAAAAGGAGAAACTAAGTGAGAATAATTTAAAGTACAAAGAAAGAAAAAAAAAAGAAAAGAAAATCGTATATTAATAAAGATAGAAGGAAAAAAGGAAGAAAAAGAAATGAATATGAATATAAAATATGGAAGAGAAAAAGTAAAGAAAATTTAAACAAAGTTAATAAAAGAATGTGAAATAAAGAGGAAAGCAAAAAGAAAAGGAGAAAAAATGCCAACGATCAAAATTCAAGTAACAAAATAAAGAGTCTGGCTAAAAGAAAAAAAAAAACAGAAGAAAAACACGTTTGAATAAAAATAAAGTGAAAGTATAGTAAAGAGTAACGGGTCCCCTGACAGCAACGACGCGTAAAAATGGCGCTGCGGCTAAAACTGTCGAGTCTGGGCAGGTAGCAGAATGGGCGGGAAAATGAACGAGGGAAAACAGAGCCTATAAATCAACCAGAAATATCGCCCTGCAAACAGCTGGCCTTTTATTAATGCATTCAAATATTTGTTTAGTCGTGAAGTGAGGCCAGCAAAAACGCTAACAATTTTTACGGCCTTTCGATTCGGTGTTGGCCCAAACGACGGTCCTCTTCCGCCCCATCGTCCCCGAAGCGAGCCATTCAGGTCCAGTCACTTATTGTCGGACAACGGAGACCGAACGCAACTCTTTCCCGCCATTTGTCCCAGCCGCCAACAATATAAACTTTGTAATGAAGAGCCATTAAATTATTCACGTAAACTTCCCCGCTGTCATTCTGTCTGTAAACTTCAAGTAGGCAGAAAAGAACGTCTGTACGCATATAATTTTGATGGTGAATTTCGTATGTCTGAGTGATTATCCTGACACATATACGTGTATACTTGTCTCATCCTTTTATTATGTGAGATAAATACGGTTGTTTCTTGCTGTAATTCATGCTCTTTTCTATGCATGTCACCTAATATGAATTCCTATTCACACACACACAAACACACGTACACACACACGCATATATATATATATATATATATATATATATATATATATATATATATACTAGCAGCATGGCCCGGCGTTGCCCGTGCTTGATTAAAATATCGTACGACTCATACAGCAATCGCTATCACTTGACTTAAAATATTTTGCCCTTCCTTGCCTTTAAAGGAGTGCCCTTTGCCGTGCTGATGTTGCTACATGCCTTACTTCTTGCCTATCTCACATTGCGAAATTTTTCTAAGCTTTTTACTAAACATTAAATCTGTTACGTAAAAAGAACTAAACAAAATGAACACAAAACGATCAGCTTTAAAAAAGGACTCGTAACTGAAAAAACCGAAAGAAAAAAGAATGTTAACAACAAATACATTTTCACATCCAACCCAGTTCTGCTGAATCAGAATCAACGTTGAGTTTAAGCAAGCGAATGAGCCAATTGGAGTAAAGTGCCATGTAGATTTAAATTTTTCCCACTTGTGACGAATGCAGCTATCGATTTTTTTTTGCATGCTAGCATGCCAGTTAACATTCTCTCAAGCTGGCCAATAGAATCTTCCTGCTTATTCGTGGCAGCCAGCTATAGGCTCTCTCTCTGGCCAGTACAAAATGGCCGCAAACTACATGAAAACTGCCGTAGAAGCATGAAAAAATTGATTATTTTCACTATCGATGAGAGTTGGGAAATGCAAAATCAGTCTTGGCCTTCCCGCTAACTTGGAGCATGTGCATGTCAATTTTGGTGCAAATCCGTGGTAAATTGCGGCCGTGCATTCGTTACACACACACACACACACACACACACACACACACACACACACACACACACACACACACATGAGAGGAGTCACGGTGGAGTAATGGATAGCAACTCAGATTGAGGAATCGGAGTTAGAATTCCAGTCGAATCCATTACATTCACTTATGTGCTAATACCCTTGGGAAAGGTATGAATCCTCTTCTTCACCCCTCTCTCCCCAACTATGGATAAATAGCAGGCTAGACCAGGTTTGGATGGCAACTGGTCTACCGCAGAAAAAAATGGCAACCTGCTTGTGGAAATCCTGCCTCGTCAGTGATGTATCGAAAGATACATGATCGCCCAAGCGTGTATATATATATATATATATATATATATGTTTGTGTGTATATGGAGGCACTGTGGTGTGGCTGCTCGAATTAAGGAATCGGAGAGCCGAGTTCGAATTCCAGCTGTGTTCATTACATTCACTTTCCTGCTAATACCATTTGTGAAACGTATGTATCCATTTCTTTTCCGTCCAGCACTGTGGCATACTGTGCATCAGTTGTCTATATTTGGATCTCTCCAAAAGTGTGGTTGCTTCTGCATGACCCTTCACCTCTGTAATCAAATGATATCTGCAAGTAGTCTGGCTGCTAGTTCTCATACGTCGAAAATGGCTCCAGCAGTGTATATGATCAAGTTTGGGAGACATTTCGTTGGAATGGCAAATGTATTTAAAAAAATTGCTATAGGCGATACATCTCAAAATAAAACATTTTCAAATTGTTTATATATATATATATATAGGTTGATGGTATTGGAATTTTCGAGGATAAGTGGGGCTATAAATTAAATTCATTCATCATATCCCACTACCAGAAAATGAATGTTTGTTAGTCTTATATATATATATATAGATAAGAGCTGTTAGCGTATGTTGTTTATTATATCAGCCCACTCACTGAAACCAGGAAGTGTTTTTATTTATTTATATTAAAGCCGTTTTTCAAGACTGTGGCTTCCGACTATTTGTAGGTTATCCCTGGTGGTATGGGTGTATATATATATATATATATATATATATATATATATATATATATATATATATATATATATTTATAATAAACAGCATTTACCTGCTTGATTGTCCGAGAAATCTCAAAGAAAATATGTGTCCTCCGACAGGAATCGAACCTGTATCCCACACGGAACCACCATATAGCCTGACGTGCTATACCATTTAGCTACAGAGGCGTTTGTTTGGTAAAGTTAAATTACTATTTTTGAAGTACGAACTTCCCATGAGCGTTGTCTTGCTTGGTCGAAATGAATAAAAAAATTCATCTTAATGCAAATATGAACATTTTATGTGCTATTTTTGTATGCATATATAGGCATTAAATATGTTTAACCTCGTATCGCAAGAGAACACATATATGGAACACCTAGTGTGAATTGAACTCAGAACTGTATTAAAGGCATGCGAAGATTAGCTTGCTAACCACTGCTCCACGGTAAAACGTTCATGGATGTGTATATAACTGTATATGCATGTTGTAGGTTTAACGTGTGTATTTAAGTGGCTACATGTGTATGAATATCTATAAATATAATCTTCTTCAATGTGCCGGGTCCCTTCACAGACATGATAAATCATGGCTTAAAATAACTTCCTATTCTTCGTAACTCTTAGTAATGCTTCTTTTTTTTTTACTGCCACTCCTTCTCCCTGTTCTGTGCTCCATTTACACAAACGTTTTAGGTAGGGTACTTGTTTTTTTTTCCATCTGTCCCTCTTGCCTACTGTATATTCTGTACGTATCAAATTCGACAAGCCCTCTCTCCTCATTATGTGTCATATAAATTTCAACTTTCTAATTTTAAGTATATGTGTCCTTTTTGTTATCATTATCCATAAAACTTCGTCGCTACTCACATGTTCAGCTCATGTTATTCTCAGCATCCTTCTGTAGAGCCTCATCTCTGTTGACTCAAGTCTCCTCGTCATCTGTGAAGAAATTGCCAACATTCTTTAATATATACGACGATTGATATTTCATAGTAGTCCAGCATACATTTCTAATGAAAGTTTCATTATACTTTATCCTTTGCTTAGCTTTTGGAAGACATCTGTCTCTATTCCAACGTTCCTTCAGATTTCACTGTTTAAACAGTTTCTAAATATATAAACATATATATATGAACTTGCTTAATTTCTTTATTTTGACATCTCAAATTCGTAGGCTGTTCCTCTTGCTGACAACCATATATTCTGGCTTGTTTCAATTAATGCTTAGTCCTTTCTTCTCGCTCTCCTTTATCTCTACCATGAGCACAGTATGCGCAACTATGTTGTTAAGATTTTACCCTCCCCAAATAAAAGCTTACCAGCTAATATTATTCATCCAGGTCTCCTCACTAAGACGGTATGGGACACACTGTCGGGTTTAACGTGGGGAGACCGAGTGCGTACACCCGGGCCAAGAACAAAAATTACCCAGCCCCGCAACCATCGGTTGCACTGGTCTCGAGATGACTATCATCCCTACCTCTTTATAGTGCAATGTGGGGTGCAGCCTCGGGCAGCTGTTGCTTGGGACTGGGCACCTTACAATATTTATTTTCTTCAGCCGCCTCTCTATCAGCGGGTCGCACTCTGCCTGAAAACAGAGACGCAACTGTGAGATGATATGCCCGACCTGGCATGAGTCAAGTATGTTTACCCGTCCTCATCACCAACGTTGGATGTGACACAAAGCCGTTTTAACGTGGAGAGCACCGTACTTATGCATATGAGCCAAGGACAAAAATTGTTTTTTGCCCAACACCTGCGACCACTGTCTTGCTGGCATTCGTATTACACCGACACAATCTCTTTAGTGCAATGAAGGGTTGGAATCGCCGGGGCTGAGAAAATTCTCCCATCTCAAATGGGGACAAACATAGCTCGACTTACTGCACAGGGACGTTAACCACGCCTCAGTAAACCCTCAATAGCAATGGTTAAATCTTGTGCAAGGCAAGTAATATTTACCTCGTCTCCCGACTGAGACGTGATGCGACACAAGGTTGGGTTTACTGTGGAGAACCGGAGCGCGTACACCCGGGTCATGGACAAAAATTGTGCAGCTCCTGCAACCGACAGTTACGCTGGCCTTGGTAGCATCTACCTATCTCCCCTGTCTAGTGTAATGGTTGGAGGTGCAGCGTCGGGCATCTGTTCCCCGGGACCAGGCACCTGGCAGTATTTATTTTCCTCAGTTGCGGACAGAGCCACAACTGATTCGCACTCTGAAGATACAGATGCCTCTGAGAGATAGTAAACCCTAGCCGGCAAGGGGCCAGGTAAGTAAAACAACTACCGATCTGCTTTTTTTTTTTTTTTTTAAGATCGACTCACTATATAGGATAAAGAAATCCAGTTAGAATATATGTTCTTGTCTTACAGCCCTTAAATTTTTGTGTTCATACTCAATAAATTTTCTATTTATACAGTCTGTTCCCAGTATATATTTAGGATTATTCTAATATCTTTCCCAGATGAATAAATTTTCCCTCACATTTAAACTAGATATTTACATCGCATCATATCAAATGCTATTGTATAGATTATGAAAAAAAAGAAGAAAAAAAAAAGATATACGTAATAGATACATGTGTGTATGCGTATAAAGAGAGGATACAGTATTTTCGTTTCGGAATAGGACAGAGATATTTGAATTACAAACATTGGTTCGAGGAGACATTCAATTACAGATTAAAGAATTAATAAAACTTTACTAACAAAATGAAATTAATTTAGAGTTGGACAATGTGAGTAAATAAAAACGAAAACTCGAAATAACTAACAAACCTTCAAGAAAACCTTTCTCCTTTTAACCTTAAGAAGATGAAAATAATAAGGAGAAATTGCTCAAAAAAAGAGGATGGCTTTTGATATTCGACCGGAAGTAGCAATATGCATCGCTGATTGAAACGAGGAAAACATTTTAATTCTTGCGTTGTCATCGAAAATTCACAGGAATGTTTTCCCACCATTCAGTCTTCATTAATCTCAGCCTCTTAATACAATTGCATCAAAGCGCATGTTCGTACAATTTATTTTTCTGAAGCTTCTCCGCCAGTCACGTGTGCAACGAAACGCGCGTATACATTTGAATACGTAAATACGCCTGGGCTGCTTTCGCAGACATACACACGAACCTCTCTCTCTTTCTCTCTCTCTCACTCTCTATCTCTCTCATTCTCTCTCTCTCTCTCTCTCTCTATCTATCTCTCTCATGGCGTAAAATCTCCTGCACAAATTATGGTACGATGATTTTATCCCAATAAAGAGGAACAAGACCATGGACTGCAGATCCTTAAAAAATAAATTCGGACCTTTCATTAAAACGTTGATTTCGTTTTCGATCTCATTTGATAAATATTTCTAATTTCTTTTTCTTTCTAACTTTCATTCTTGTTTTTATCATTTTATTTTTTCTTTCTTTTTACAATCACTTCTTTTCTTCTTTTTTTCCCCTACATTCCTGTTACTTTCCGTTTTTTAACCTTTCCTTTTTCTTTTTCTCGTCATCTTTCTTTCTTCCTTTCTTTATTCGTCTTTTCTTTCTTCTTGCTTTTCTGTTAATCTCCTTTTCAACCATCCCTTTTCTTTTTTCCGCCATCTTTCTTTCTTTCTTTCTTCGTCTTTTTTTCTTTTTGCCTTTCTATTAATTTTTTTTTCTACCTTTCCTTTTCTTTTTTCCGTCATCTTTCTTTCTTTCTTTCTTTCTTTCTTCGTCTTTTTTTCTTCTTGCCTTTCTATTCATTTTTTTTTCTACCTTTCCTTTTCTTTTTTCCGTCATCTTTCTTTCTTTCTTTCTTTCTTTCTTTCTTTCTTGCCTTCCTATTAATCTCTTTTTTCTGCCTTTCCTTTTTTTCCGTCATCTTTCTTTCTTTCTTTCTTTCTTTCTTTCTTTCTTTCTTTCTTTCTTTCTTTCTTTCCTTCCTATTAATCTCTTTTTTCTACCTTTCCCTTTCTTTTCATCGTCATTTTTTTTTGCTTCCTTGTTCCTTTCTTTTACATTTCTCCCCTCCTTCCTCTTTGATTGATCCGTCTCCCTTCAAATAATGCTCGTTATAAGTTTTTTTCATATTTTCACAACAATCTTTTTCACTTTAATAATTATTATTTCTATTTTCTTTCCTTTTGAAATCTTCCTTTTATTTTCTTTCCTTCTTCACAATTGTCCTTCTTTCTTTGGCCCATAATTTCTTTCTTTCTTTCTTTTATTTTGTATTTTACTTTTATATTTCTTTTATCTTTTGCGGCTTACGGCCGTATTAGACACCGGTTTTCGTACGATCACCGAAGCAAAGCAAATTCGACCCTGGCCAGTACCACGATGGTTGACCAGGTGCAGTAAGCTTGGATGTGCGGGTGGAGTAATGGATAACGGTTCGGTATTGGAAATCCAAGTTCTAATTCTAATCGGGTTCGTTATATTCACTTACGCGCAAATACACTTGGGAAAAGTTTGAATCCATCTTTTTATCCCGGCTATGGATTAATTAGTAAGAACTCTTTTAGTGAATCACTAAAATTCTTACAATCTAAAAATATTATCTGGTTCTAAATAAACCGTAAAAACAAATCGATCTTTTTTTTTGTGTTTTCTTTTTTCTTTTACATTCTTTTTTCTTCTTTATTTATTCTGCCTTTACTTTTTTGTGTGTCATTTTTGCATTGCATTTTGCTTTGGAATTTTTTTTTTTGTTATTTTCTTTTATTTTTCCTCTTTTCCCTTTTTCTTTTATCTGTGTTTTCTTTCTCCTTTTTCCTCCATTTTTCTTCTTTATTTATTCCACCTTTTCTTTCTTGTGTCATTTTTGAAATGCATTTTGCTTTGGCTTTTTTTTATTCTTTCTTTTATTTTTACTCTTTTCACTGTTTCTTTTATTTTCCTTCCTTGTTTTCTTTATTTTTCCTTCATTTTTCTTCTTTATTTATTTAGCTTTTTTTTTCTCTCTCTCTTTTTAACTTGAATTTTCATGTTGCATCTGTTTATTTTTGATGTGGATTCCGGGATGAAATCCGGTCTCAAATGAATGACAAACGCAGGAATGAAATATAACAAATAAATGTATTGACGTAACAATACAATTGGTAATACGGTTAGTAGATCCAGAAATGCGGTTAGTAGCAATAATAATATATATGCAGTCTGGGAAATTCAGCATCGAAGTAGGACTTCCTTCTGAGTCTACGTGCTCGCAACTGTGACTCCTACAAAGCGGTTACCTCAAACTCTCACTCTCTCAATCTATCACTTTCTGGGTATTCACTGGCAGCAGTACATGTACACACTGGGCGAGTCCACTTGTATAAAAAGGGATGGACCCCTTAACAATTTTATTATTTCTTTCTTTCTTTTGCCTTATTTCCCTTTTGAAATTCCAATCGGCTTCAAACATATCCTTAAACTTTTCTTTCTTGTCATATTGGCACAATACAAGATTTATTTTTAATCTAACTCACTTGATGGTATTTTCTCTCTCTTTCTTTTAAATTCAAATTTATTTATTTTTAGATTTGTTTCGTATATCTAAATCCTCTTTCTATGATGCTTTGTTCTCAGAACCTTTTTCTCTTTGTGAAACGCTCTTTCACATCCTCTTCCTGTTCAATTTTCCGTACAATTAAACATTTTCTCCTTCCCTTTCATTACGCCTTTTCTTTATTTACGTTTCAACCGGGACGCTTTTTAAACATGTTAACACAGACTATCACGTCCTCTCCTTTTTTCAGTCATCCATATTTGTTTTTTGCTCACAATGTCCATTTTTATTACATTCTTTCATTAATTTTATTTTATAAAAATCATTTATTTGCCTAAATTTTCTTTAATTTTTTTTCACCTCAATTTTCTTATTATTTTCGTTTCCACATTTCTCTCTTTGTTTCAAATCACTTTTTTTCTCAAATATCTTCGTATTATTATTATTTTTTTTTTAATCTGTTCTTTGCGAATCTTAATCTCAAATTGACTCTTAACCCTCTAAGCTTTGTTTGGACAACTGAGGTTTTTCCTGGGGTTGATGTTGTTATCACAACGCTTCAGCATTCTTTTGGTGTAAAATCCATAAAGAAAGCGAAAGGTCTTCTTTTTTTTCTTGAAGAGTATGGCGACAGAAAACAGTTCTTAATATATCAACAAGGTAACGTTAAATCCAGCGACGTGAGATGCGCAGTCACCATTACCCATGTAACACATGTGATTTTATTACAATGTTTCTATATAATGTGTACAACAAAAATTATCTTTTTACCCGATCGAGATTTGATGAGTGTGGAGCGATAACCGGTTAACTCATTTCTGTCCCCTTTTTTTCATTCTTTTCTTTTTGTGCTCATAATGATCAGCTATAACAAATTTAGTATAGAATAGAAGGAAGTTGAACAAAGAATAGGTTACGCACGGACTAGTTTTGTTCAACGAAACTAAAATATTAGTCCAAAATTTTGAGTCACGTATCTGAACAGTTTTGTCAAATGTAAACTCTCACAATGTTATGATTGGTGTTCAAATAGTTTAGAAATGTCTAAACTATCAAAACCTTTGACTCAGATCAATGATTAAAAATTCTTACAATCTAAAAATATTTTCTAGATTTAAATGACCTGCAAAGAATGAAATCCGGTCTCTAATGAATGACAAACGCAGGAATGAAATATAGCAAATAAATGTATTGACATAATAATACAATTGGTAATACGCTTAGTAGATCCAGAAATGCAGTTAGTAGCAATAATAATATATATACAGTCTGGGAAATTCAGTATCGAAGTATGACTTCCTTCTGAGTTTAAGCCGTAAAAAAAAACATGATTTAATCAAGCGATAAAAATAAAATATTGGAATTACATGGGCCGAGCAATAAAATTATAAAGTTGGAGACAAGAAAACCAGTTAATTTTTAAAACTCTAACTAAATCAGATATTTTAGACATTTTATTAAATTTTTCGTAAAGTATAATAAACCATGAAAAAAAATTCTTTAAAAGTTCTGCAGGTCTTTAAAAAGACGATCCTTCATCATACCATGCAGTTTTAACAAATAATAAAAAAAATATATCACTTGATGACTTCCAACTAAAACGGGTGGCACGTGTAACTAGTGTTGTAGCATACCTATGGACGATAATGGGTATGCCCCCATGTCCATAAATACAGTAGTGAATATTGTACGTGGTCTGGAGATCGTAGATATCCTAGAGTTGGAGACTCGTCTCCAGCTGTGCTGGTCAAACGCTCTGTCTTCGGGCAGAGAAGATCCCCAGACGAGGCTCTATCGAAGGGCAGAGTCTCGTCTCGGGAAACAGCTAACCGACCCCGTTTTATGCGGGACTTTTTGGCCGAGCCTACGGGAAGGATAGCTCTCATTAAATTCGGTCTTGTGCTACATCTAACCGCGTGGGGTGGTTGGTAGATATCCTAGAGTTGAAAAGTCATTGTGGAATTCACTTGACTCACTTCTAGCAGTTGACTACATCTACGCACTGCTGGTGAATCTTATATATGTTGTTCTTGTCCTAAGTATTAACGTTCATTACCAACCTTCGTTTGATTATTCTATCCAGTATCCTTCCCTATGGTACAACAACTAGAAAAGAAACTAATGATAGAATTAATATGTTTACTTGCCACACTACCGTAGACTAAATGTTAGGAAGGGAACTCTCAACAATGCAAGGAACACTTATAATAGTGGACTTGTGGGGCCTATATTTCAGAAAAAAACTGTTTTAAGAGAATTATTTTATAAATTTCGACTTAGAGAACCTAAAGAAAAGCGTAGTGGGTTGCTACATGAAATCCGTTCTCTTAAATGGCAATGATGGCTGGACAGATTCCCCATGAATGAGGAGAAACTTGAAAGCCACAGAAATGTGGTTCTACAGAAGGATATTGATAATACTGACAAAGCGAGTAAGTCAGAAGAAAGTCTTAAAGAAAATGGCGACATAAAGAACATTTCTACTTCAGAACCAGCAAAAGATAGCTAAAATTTCTTGGACACATAATGAGGAAGGGGAGCTTGGAAAATTTAACCTTCACAGGCCATATTGAAGGCAAGAGAGATAGGTGAGGGCTGCGAGTCAATTTACCTAATACGTTTGAGTGAGCAGGTGGCGGAACGGAGGCTAGAACCTTAGCAAAACTGCTAAGAGCCACAAAGGACAGGAAGTTGTGGAGAACCATGATCGCTTATAATACGGAAGTGACGCGGCATACAGATAAAGAAGAATCTATTTATTGCACTTCGTTAAATTCTTTACGCTCTCTTTTCATATTGATCAAATCCAACAGCCATTCCTTTATTTTTACACATTTTCCGATTTTCGCGACCCTCTTCAAATTTCTTTTCAAATCTCTTCCAATCATTAACCCAGTGAATTTTTTGTCTCTTCGATTTGTTCATTTGTTTTATCGCTTATCTCTATCTATAAAAGGCAGGATGTGTGTGTGTGTGTGTAACGAATGCACGGCCGCAATTTACCACGGATTTGCACCAAAATTGACATGCACATGTTCCAAGTTAGCGGGAAGGCCAAGACCGACTTTGCATTTCCCAACTCCCATCGATAGTGGAAATAATCGATTTTTTCATGCTTCTATGGCAGTTTTCATGTAGTTTGCGGCCATTTTCTACTGACCAGAGTAAGAGCCAATAGCTGGCTGCCACGAATGTTTGCTAGCACGCAAAAAAACAAATCGATAGCTGCATTCGTCACAAGTGAGAAAAATTTAAATCTGCATGGCACTTTACTCCAATTGGCTCATTCGCTTGCTTAAACTCAACGTTGATTCTGATTCTGCAGAACTGGGTTGGGTGTGAAAAATTATTTGTTGTTAACATTCTTTTTTCATTCGGTTTTTCCAGTTACGAGTCCTTTTTTAAAGCTGATCGTTTTGTGTTCATTTTCTTTAGTTCTCTTTTCGTAACAGATTTAATGTTTAGTATAGAGCTTAGAAAAAATTCGCAGTGTGAGATAGGCAAGAAGTAAGGCATGTAGCAACATCAGCACGGCAAAGGGCACTCTTTTAAAGGCAAGGAAGGTCAAAAATATTTTAAGTCAAGTGATAGTGATTGCTGTATGAGTCGTACGATTTTTGAATTAAGCACGGGCAACACCGGGCCATGCTGCTAGTATTTTATATTTACGAAACTTAACTGAGGTTTAATAAAGGCCGAAAAGAATCGGACATGTGTGGAATGATTGTGTTGCCGCAAAAATACTCAAAAGGATTTTGTTCTGCTTACTTGCGAAATTATCATTTAAAACCCTTATTTTTTCACTGATCTCAGATATTGACCATTGACTCTAGGGAGAAATATACACCTACCACGACAAATCTTATTTTCCCATCTTTTTACCCCGTTTTTTGCTTAAATTTTCTTACTTCTTTCTTTCTTTCTTTCTTTCTTTCTTTCTTTTAACCACTTCTTTGTGCATCTCTTTGCTTTCTTTTTCTTTCTTTCTTTTCATCTCATTTCATTCTTTCTTTCTTTTCGCCGCTTCTTTGCGCATAACTTTTCTTTCTTTCTTTCTTTCTTTCTTTCTTTTCGCTCAGTCATTGTGCATCTCATTTCTTACTTTCTTTTGATCCCTTCTTTGTCACCGCATTCCTTACTTTCCTTCTTTCTTTCTTTCTTTCTTTCTTTCTTTCTTTCTTTCTTTCTTTCTTTCTTTCTTTCTTTCTTCCCTACCTTGTGTATGACTTTTCTTTCTTTTTACCCATTCTTTGTGCATCCTATTTCTTTCTTTCTTTCTTTCATTCTTTCTTTCTTTCTTTCTTTCTTTTTATTGCTTCTTTGTGCATTCCATTTCTTTCTTTTTTCATGCCTTTTTGTCCATGAATTTTCTTTCATTCTTTTCATCCTTTCTTTGTGCACCCCATTTCTTTCTTTCTTTCTTTCTTTCTTTCTTTCTTTCTTTCTTTTCTTTCTTTCCACCGATTCTTTGTGCATAACGTTTCTTTCTTTGTTCCTTTGTTTATTTCTTTCTTTCTTTTCACCCCTTCTTTGTGCATCCCATTTCTTTCTTTCTTTCTTTCTTTCTTTCTTTCTTTGTAATCTGTTTTCAACAAACGTTGGTTTCTTTTTATCCTAATCGCTAATCTCTTTATTCTCTTCCTGCATTTTTTCTCAAGGCATCATCACACACTCTACTCACCCTACACTCGGCCTTTACTTACATTTCTATTTTCTATATCACTCTATCGAAAAACAGTCCACATTTCTCCATTGCCACTTGATTCATTGGTAAAACTCTCATTGAATACATGCCGTCTTGGTAAAAGGCATTCCAGTGGAAATTAAAAATAAACCAAATCCGAAATGACATAACAAAAAACCCTCCAAAATGAAGACAGAACGAAACGAAATCAACTAAAAAAAATCGTAAGTAAAATACAAATTAAAACGGAAAAAACAAAAAGAAACCAAAATACAACAAAACCCGTAATAAATGAAAAGAACCGAAACAATGAAGAATATGTGGTTGTTGCCTGGGTGGAGGGATGTGTTGAATGCTTGTGGGGCTTCTGAATTTGAGGCCTATAGCAGTTCAGGAAATGAAAACAGTCTTTCAAACTGTTCTGTTCAAGGAAAAAAAAATGGTAAAGCCGAGAAAAATATCAGATAATTATTTTTCATATGTTTACATTCTTGTTACGAACAATGTATATTCAAAAGAAAGGAATCAGGATCAGACTTTATGCAGAAATCTAAGTGCGTGTGTGTTTCGGCGTGCGAGAATTTAATTGAAGGACTGCATAATGAGTATTTTCCACCCTCACTTCTCTTATATATATATATATATATATATATATATATATATATATATATATCTCTCTCTCTCTCTCTATATATATATATATATATATATATATATATAGAGAGAGAGAAGAGAGAGAAGAGAGAGTCAAACTTAGTGAGCCAGACAAACCTACCCAGGTTTCACCTAAGCAGATCGTCAGGGGAGCCAGCTATCCCTGACGATCCGCTTAGGTGAAACCTGGGTAGGTTTGTCTGGCTCACTAGGTTTATCTAGGTCTGCTCTACGGTTGTATTGAGCTCTTTTTAGTTAGTTGTTTACTCGTGTCGGTTTTTTTTTTTCTTTGGGCTGTGAACCTGTATCTGTGCGATTTTTTCGACAGACTTTCATGTTCCTGGCTCTTTCTTTTTTTAAAAACTTTTTTCCTTCGAGATTGATTTGATTATTGGCAAATCAAAATTCGAAGGTTTTTCGAACGAGTATAGTTACCTATATATATATATATATATATATATATATATATATATATATATATATATTTATTCGAAAATTATAACATAAATATCTTATAAAATCACTACCAAAATAGCCATTTTGTTTCAACACTTCTGGTGTCTTATCAAGTGATGATGTTGAATATATAAGTTATCCCTAAGGATTATGACACTTTAGTTAAAAATAGTTTGACGAAAAGCTACAAGAAAATTGACACAAATAATTTTAACCTGATAGCTAAGATTAACTGTGTCACTAAATCCATTACTGACAAACTACCTACAAGTGATCGTTTCAATAAATTGCAAGCTAAGGAACCTTATATTTTTATTAAAGGATCATAAACCTGATTTCAGAACCAAGCCATCAACACGTCATATTAATCCTACCAGATCGGAAATCGGTAGAATCAGCAAAACCAACCAATCCATTAAAAGACATTCCACACTATCACTTGATAAGACACCAGAAGTGTTGAAACAAAATGGCTATTTTTTTGTGATTTTATATTTATAATTTTCGAATAAATTATATTTGCTCTACTCCATATTGAGCACTCTTTTAAGAATAGTATTTTTGGTCATTGGAATTTATTCCGTATACACTAATCGTATACTTGTATATATATATATATATATATATATATATATATATATATATATATATGTGTGTGTGTGTGTGTGTGTGTGTGTGTGTGTGTGTGCGTGTGTGTGTGTGTGTGTGTGTATATATATATATATATATATATATATATTAATTCAAACGTATATATATCACTTCAAACGTTATTTTTGGTGGATACCCGATTTTGAGTAGACGCTCCGTTTTTTAAAAGAGAGTTTATTTCGTCTACCGTCCTGCGAACTTAATACAAAAATACAGTGGGCGGAAATAAATATTCGTACACTTGAAAAAATGTATTTTTATAAATGTAAAAGCCTTAACTAAAACAAATTTTGATACATTTTATGTATGAAGACACATACTATTAAAAAATAATAACAAACTTAATTAATTCTTATTCTAGCAGAAATTAATGAATGTTTTTAATTCTTACTGGTGAAAAAAGTATTCGTACAAATCATTTATTAGAATAAAATAATCAATTAATTATGTAAAAAGTATATTCTAGAATGTTCCAGTAATGTTATCAGTAATTATAGTTAACGCTATTAGGCATTATCGGAGCATTCTGCAATTTCTAGTCTACGAGAAGGTTCTGATAATGCCTAAAGGTAAAGAATTGACTATTTCACAAAAACAACACATTTTGTCTCTTTGGAAAGATGGGAACAGTTACAGAACGATTTCTAACAACTTGAATATTCAGCAAGGATATTAGGACGCCAGATGCAACAAAATCCACAGGTTACCCGAGAAGAGCTGCAGGAACATCTGCGTGCATTAGGGATTAAAGTAACCAAGCGTACAATAAGTAATGAACTACACATAAACAGTCTGAAATCACGTATCTCAAGGAAGACTCCACTGCTCTTGAAACGACACAGAGATGCTAGGTTAAAATTCGTTAGAGAGCATAAGGATAAAGAATATTCGTTTTGGGAAAAAAGTACTATGGACAGATGAAACTAAAATAGAGTTGTTTGGTCATAATTATCGAAATCATGTGTGGAGGAAGGACGGTGAAGCCTACTTACCAATGAACACGTTGCCAACTGTAAAGTTTGGTGGTGGCAGTATCATGATCTGGGGCTGTTTTTCTGCAAAAGGTGTTGGCAGAATATCAATAATAGATGGCAAGATGAATGCCGAAAGCTACCAGAAAATCCTGCAAGACAATTTAATGCGTTCTGTTGAGAGTCTTCGGCTACCTCCAGATTGGGTTTTCCAACTGGATAATGAGCATACCGCTAGATCTACAAGGAAATGGTTAGCTGAAAGTAACGCTGATGTCTTGCAATGGCCAAGTCAGTCTCCAAACTTGAATCCAATCGAGAATTTATGGCGATAATTAAAAATTCAAATTGGGAAAAGAACACCAACAAATATCAAGAATTTGAAGACAATATGCCAAGAAGAATGGGACAAAATACCACTCAATGTGTGCAAATCATTAGTTGAGATGTACAGGAATAGACTGGTAGCTGTTGAACTCAATAAAGGATATTCCACAAAGTATTAAATTAAGTTAATATGCTTTTTTTGTTTTGTACGAATACTTTTTCATCAGTTAAAATGAAAAAAATGCATTAATTTCTGTTAGAATAAGAATTAATTAAGTTTATTACTATTTTTTAATAAAATGTATCTTTACACATAAAATGTATCAAAATTTGTTTTAGTTAAGGCTTTTACATTTATAAAAATACATTTTTTCAAGTGTACGAATATTTATTTCCCCCGACTGTATATACCCCATCAGGATTCCAATCTGTGTCCTCTTTTGGCCGTGAAGCCACCGTCTGATATTGCATTAAGTCAAATAAACTCTCGCTTGCACATGAAGCACTACAGAGCCGAGCGCCCGATGCACGCGGAATTAAGGTAGTGTTTCCTACTGCAAAGAGAGACACAGGTTCGAATCCTTCCAGATTAGTTGATGTCACATTGTAACATTTTTAGGATAAAAAAATTTGAAATTTAGTTGAAGTCAATAGTGAAATGTGTATGTAACAAATTTAAAATAAATATATTTGATAATAAATTGAATAGTTCTATTCAAATCTGACAAGCGAAACTCTGGGTAGGAAGAAAAGTTATTGGACTTAATTGCTTACATTCACTATATATATAAGCAAATATATGGATATAGATCCGACAGTATGAAGAAAAATATATACGGAAAAAACAAAACAAAAATCCTTATATACAATTATGCTGTTTTAATGTTAATATGTCAACGTCGGACGTTTCGGTCTAATAAACCATCTTCAGGACATATTCAAGTGATAATGTTGTTAATATTCCTGAAGATGGTTTATGTCATATTAACATTAAAAACAGCATTTTGTATATAAATTTTTGTTTTGTTTTTCCGTATATATTTTTTCTTCATTCACTATATATATATAGAGAAAGAGAGGTAGATAGATAGATAGATAGATAGATAGATAGATAGATAGATAGATAGATAGATATACTATAATACACACAAATATATATATATATATATATATACGCACATTTCTGCGTATGTCAGAGAGTATATCTGTAAAGGACGATATAAATAAATACAAAAGAAAACTCTGAGCCGTCGCATTTCGGCCTCTGAGAAACTTTATCAGGACAAATGCAAGGATTTCATTTTGTAAGAAGTCAGCGTGTCTGCCTGTATCTCTTTCTCTCTCTCTATATATATATATATATATATATATATATATATATATATATATATATATATCTCAAAAGTTATTTTTAGTGGATACCCGTATTTGAGTAGGCGCTCATTTTTTTTTTTTTTTAAAGAAAGTTTATTTCGTCTACCCGCCCGCACATTCAAGAAAACGTAATAATAGAAATGTGCCTTCCGGCAGCATACGAATATACTCCCACATTACACACATTGGAAGAAAAACTGCCGTCTGATTCGGCACTATTTGACCGCTCGGCTACGGAGAGCTTCAGAGTCAAACAAGTTTCTATTTGCTTTTACCTAGAAAGAGGACGCAGGTTCGAAACCTACGGGAGGCACATTTTCTTCAGTGCGTAGACCGGTAAACGAAAATAAGTGCAGTTACAAAAAAAAATATGGAGCGTCTGCTCAAATACTCGTATCCGCAAACATAACATTCGAAATAATAAAAATATGTCGCGTTAAAAAAACATCCATTAATTCTTTTTTTTTTTTATATATATATATATATATATATATATATATA